TGGGAGGAGGAGAGGGAGGAGCCTCAGCCAGTTCTTTACCAAACTCTCTCAATCACACAGGAGAGGCTTGCTTATCTATCTCTCCTGTGCAATTGACAGAGACTGGTAAAGCAAGCTGTGATGTGGCAACATCAGCAGAACTGGAAAACAAAGCAGGAAACAGCTAGGTCCTTGGGGGGGCAGATTGGGGCCCTCTGAGGGCCTGATCTGGCCCATGGACTGCATGTTTGACACCCCTGGTTTAGGAGGTCCAAGGGAGAGGGAGGGATAGAGCTCTTGTTTTAGGTTTCCATCTCCTCCACCGCTGATGCCACGCCCCCAAGGTAACAGTTCATTGATATATATAGAGGGTGAACAGTAAATTAGCATACAGCATAATGACAGTGTTTTAACAGTTTTTTTAAATAGCTGCCACCTGGATCTATCTTCACTGAAGTTCATTTCACTACTTTATGCTGCAAACTGCACAAATGGCATTGAAGTAGTTATGTTCTGATGGCCTCCTCATTTGAAGGAAGAGTTATGCAAATTGTCTTATATTGTAAATAAGATATTCAGAGTAGCTGTGACCCTCTGCTACAGTGTGCATTGTAGTATCCCCTACAATCCCAGGGGGGGGAAATCCACTTCTCCCCTTCTGAATAGGATGCCCTTTAGGGGTTTCCAAGACGACTGTCCTTCTGCTTTTGTTTTTTTTTTTCAATTTATATTTTTATTGAAGTCTTAAAATTGCATACAAATAATAATAGCATGTAAATACACTTCAAGTTTAACATGAAATATACGACTGTCCTTCTGCTTTTGTTTTTTGAATAATTGTGCAGCTCTCTAAGCCACCACCTATCCTCTCACATTATCTATGGTTCTGAACACTGTAAACCAGTTGTCTGTCGATTAACCAATGGCTTGTTCTTCATTCTAGGCAAGGTATAACAGCATGGTTTCTCCACATAATTTCATGATAAGCCTCCACAATGTTTGCAAATTGCATAGTCTGAGTTCAACCAATTGCTTTGAATGTTAAAATTAAAAGTGCAAATTCTTGAAAAACTTGGCTTATTCAACAGCACACAAATAACAGCCACACAACAAACCCAAAACAACACACCAGCATTCCCTTCACCCTCTTCAGAGTCCCCATCATGCTCCTCTTCGCTTTCCTGTTCTTATCCATCCTCCTCCTCTTCTTCTTCCCCCTCCTCCTCCTGTTTTCCACAAGCTCCTTCTTAGGCAAGTCAAGCCATTCTCAACCAGGTCCAGCCTGTATGTGTGGCGATCCACTGTATAGACAGAACAGCTTGTTTCAGGTGTGGGGGAATGGGAGCCCAGTGCGGGGGTGTGATGGAGGCTGCCCTTTGGGTGGGGGAGGGGTGCTTTCAGGGCGGAGAGCCTCTACCCACCTCAGCGGGTGAGTGGGGGAAGGCCTTGCAAGGAGCGGGCAAGCCAGGGAAGGTCTAAAGAGAGCCTCCCACCTTCCTGGCCTGTCCACCTTAGCGGGCGAGCAAGGGAAGGCCTTCCAAGGAGCAGGGAGGCATTTAAATTCCTCCCCGTGCCTTCCCCGGCCAAAGCGGGTGAGCCTAAAAAGAGCCCCCCCAAAAGCGGGCGAGCCAGGGAAGGCCTCCCTCACTCCCCATCTCTCTCTCTCTTGCTCTCTCTTTCTTTCATTTATTCTTTCCTTCCTTCCTTCCTTTCTTCTCTCCTTTTCCCTCCTTCTTTCCTTCTCTCTCTCTTTCTTTTCCTCTTTTCCCTTTTATCCTCTCTCTCTCTTATCCCTCCTTTTCCCTTCTCTCTCTTTCTTTCCCTCCTTCTTTCCTTCTCTTTCTTTCTTTTTCTTTATTTCTTTCCCTCCTTTTTTCCTTCTCTTTCTCTTTCTTTCTTTACCTCTTTCTCTCCTTTTTTCCTTCTCCCTCTCTTTTTCTTTCTCTTTTCCTCCTTCTTTCCTTCTCTTTTTCTCTCTCTCTCTCTCCCCCAGACCTGTGCCCTAGTCTCCTTCTTAGCTTTCCCCCCCGGAACCTCCCTTTAAAGTCCAAATAACCCTGCCCCTTCCCTGAGTGTACTGGGGCTCCCCCTGTCTCTCCTACTGGGCTACTGGATGGCTCCTTCCCCCAGCTACCCATCCCTTCTACCCCATTGGCTATGCCAGGGGTTTAGCTGGGGTAGGTTGCCAGCCTTCAGTCCCTGGTCCTGCTTTTCTTGGCCCTCCCAAGTTGCCTGGACTGCTGTTGGGCTTACTTGAACATTAGGCAGGAAGGAGGGATCACTGAGGAAATGCCAAACGAAACAAAAAAGGCTTTACCCACTGATGGAAGATGGCATCAGAGTCTCCCTGAGGAGAGAGTTCCAGAGTTTTGCTGCCATGACTAAGAGGGCCCTCTCCTGGGCTGCCCCACTCCTAATCTCAAAAGGCACCTGAAGCAAGGTCCCAGAAGATGGTTACACGCTATAGCTGGCTAGGTAAGTTCACAGTGGAATAAGCAGTCCTTCAGATTTATTGGTCCTAACCCATATAGGGCTTTAAATGCCAACACCAGCACCTTTAATTGTGCCCAGAAACAGTTTGGGAGACAGGGAATATAGGGCAAGACTGGAGAGATATGGTCCATATGAGCCATTCCACATAACATCTTGACTGCAGCATTCTGCACCCCTGAAATTTTTGAACACTTTTGAAGGGCAGCCCCATGTAGGTCACATTGCAGTAATCTAATCAAAAAGTAACCACAGCTGCCTGTTGCCACCAGCTTATTCAGCAGTAGGCCTGGATCCAAGAGCACCCCTAAACTATGGTCCTGTTCCTTAAAGGGGACTGCAACCCCCTCTAGAACATGTGACACCTTAAATCCAGGGTCAGACCTTCCACTCTCCAGTATTACTTCTATTTTGTCAGAATTAAGCTTCAATTTATTAGCATGCATTCACTCAAACTGTCTCCTGGTACCAGTTCAGGGTTTCTTCAGCATCCCTGAGATCAGCTGGAAGTATGAGATAGAGCTAAGTGTCATCCACATATTGGTGTCAACCCAGCCCAAATCTCCAGATGACCTCTCTGGCTGAGCAGCAATCCCCCAGCACCACCCTCTGAAACCTGCCTTGCAGACAGGACCTGAACCACTGCAAAAGGCAGTCCAGAAGGATACCATAATCGATTTTATCCAAAGTTGCTGAGAGGTCCAGGAGAAACAACAGAGTCACACTCCCTCTAGCCATCTCCCAAAACAGGTCATCCAGCAGGGAGACCAAGCCTGTTTCTGTCCCATAACCAGGTCTAAATACAGACTGGAAAGGATCTAAACCATTTGCATCATCCATGAGTGCCTGATGTTGTCCAGCCACCACCTGTTCTATCACCTTGCTCAAGAATGGAACATTTCAGACTGGTCGATAGTTATTGAAACCACCTGGGTCCAGGATATACTTCTTTATAAAGTGAAGAGTGGAGGAAGAGGAGACTTGTTGGGGTACAGTGGCTGGGGACCCAGGTTGGCCAAGTAATTTCTTCATCCCCTATGGTACAGAAATGGCACTGGTGAGGCCTGTCTCACCAGAAAAGCCGTGGATATAAGAGTTTTTATAAAAACACTCAGCTTTCATTGTCATTAACTACAGTGACAACTTGCATTTTCACATCCTCAGTGAATCTTCTGGTTATAACTAATGAGGAATGGTATCATCTGTGTTTCCCATGTTCAATCTTCTAGAGTGCTCTGTAGCACAAGGGGGGGGGGATTGTCAAATTTGTTACCAATGAACGCACTGGTAGTTCAATACCTTACTCAACATTTTACTACAAATCTCCCTTGTTGAGACACAGCACACATTAGTTGAAAGCAGGCACAAGTTTATTTACTAATAAAAAGCAAACTATACAAATACATTAAGTAATTATTTTACTCTAAATTCAGCAAGGTGAAGGGTTCCAAGTAGAATGTATACAATTATCTAAACTTTAGGATAGTCTTGAGCTACCACTGCTGCTGCTCAGGGAAACTAATCTTCTCATGTGTATGGGACAAACTGACACACTGCCGGAAGTTGCTGCTTCATCTTTGGGGTGTAAGTCTTCCAAGATCTTCTAATCTAAACAACACTTTTATATGATTCTACACACAAAAGTAACTTGCAAGCCTGGTACATGACCACTGTCATCCAAATGCCTGCGTTTAGAACTCCTGAAACAATTCTACCCACGTGGATAATTGTCCAGTATCTCTTGGGGAAAGAGCTGGATCTCTTGGCATGAAGTCACAACCCAGATCATTTCAAGTTCTTAGCTAGGGGAGTGTTAGTGCTATCACCACAAGCTCACAGACGCAAAATACATCCTGCTTGTTTTACCATAAAATGGATTCTACAGTATCAGTACTTCAATGTCAACTGCTACCTAATTTGTTATTATTTTGGTCGAAAGCATTCAGACAACTAGGGAAACCAAACATCAACCGTACCTTCTGAAGCTTCTGATAGAGGCTACTTTTAAGAGTAATGAACAATGGAGCATATGGATAATTGGCATGAACCATCTGGCTACTCTTACGCTTTTTAGCTTTTTAGCTGCGGTGGCTCAAGTGGTTAAGACGCTGAACTGCAGGCTGTGGAAGGTCGGTAGTTCAGCAGTTCGAGACCCCGGGTGCCGCATGACGGAGTGAGCTCCCATCTCTAGTTCCAGCTCCTGCCAACCTAGCAGTTCGAAAGCAAGAAATTGCAAGTAGATAAATAGGTACCACTTCGGTGGGAAGGTAACAGCGTTCCGTGCGCCTCGGTGTTTAGTCATGCCGGCCACATGACCACGGAAACATCTTCAGACAGCGCTGGCTCTTCGGCTTCGAAACGGAGATGAGCACTGCAACCCTAGAGTCGGACTCGACTGGCTTTCGAGCAAGGGAACCCTTTACCTTTACTATGCTTTTTAGAATTCTATATTAAGTTCTTTAATTCATACAAACTAAACCACCATCATGTTCAAGAAGGATTCCTCCCTTGATTAGATCCAGATGAAAGGCCTAAGTGACATTGAAGGTGATGAAAGAATTGGCAGATTTCTTTTGTTGTCTCGGATGCTCTGTCTCTCTCCATGTCTGGACAGGAAATTGACAGAAGGAAGACGCCCTGGCATGTGTGGGATCACTAACATGGGTCACCTCAGTCAGATCTGCTTCCAAGGTACTAACAGTGTGGGTCACCTGTGCCACATGGACTTTATTGACTACTCTCTTGTGCAAGAGGCAGCTGAAGATCTTCTTGAATCCCTTTCGAAAGTGCTTGGATACCAAAGCATAGACAATGGGGTTGACACAGGAGTTGGCATATGAAATCAGGTGGGAGAGAATCCTAAGTGCATAGGTGGAATTGTTCAGTGGGAAATAGCCAAACCAAAAACAGAGGATAACCAGGTGATGGGGCAGCCAGCAAATGCAGAAGAGAACAGCCACGATGATGATCATTCGGGTGACCTTGTGCTTGGCCTTCTTAGAATCAGACATGTCTTCAATGGGATCCACAGAAGTCCAGAGATAACGGATGGTCCTCACATAGGTGAGGCTCAAAATTAACACTGGGATGACATAGCTAAAGGCAAAAGTGCAGAGGTCCATGACTTTGCGCTTAGAGATTTTCCAAATGGGATGGCAGACAGTAACATTGGCTATCTGGAATTCCTGGTAGTAACTGAGATATGGTCCAGAGAAGATGAACGAAAGACCCCAAATGAGACAAATGGCTATGAGAGCATTCCTGGGTGTTCTTAGTTCTCTTGAATGCAACGGGTACCTTATTGCCAAGTACCTGGAAATAAAAAAGAAAAGCAACAAGTACCATGATACGGAGGCACTATCAGAATATTCTGAAAAAAAATGCTATATGTGAGGAGAAACTAAATTTATAAGGCACAATAACAGTAATATACACTATAGCTGGGATAATGTTCAGAGTGATGGAGAAAGAGATGAAGGAGTTGAATCATTTACCCCAGGAAGATGCTAATGATAGTTATAGTGAATATGATGAGCTTTGGAATAAAATATCCTTAACATTAAAAAGGTTTCCCTAGCTCGAAAGCCAGTCGAATCCGACTCTAGGGGGCAGGGCTCATCTCTGTTTCCAAGCCAAAGAGCCAGCGCTGTCCAAAGACGTTCCTGTGGTCATGTGACTCGCATGACTAAACGCCGAAGTGCACGGAATGCTGTTACCTTTTTATGTGGTACCTATTTATCTACTAGCAATTTCTTGCTTTCGAACTGCTAGGTTGGCAGGAGCTGGGGCTAGAGACGGGAGCTCACTCCGTCACATGGCACTAGGGTCTCGAACTGCTGAACTACAGACTTTCCAGTCTGCAGCTCTGCATCTTAACTTCTAAGCCACCACGGCCCCATCCTTAACATTATGGGTAGATAATTCCAGAGGCGTACCCATGTTAGTCTCTTGCAGCAAAAATAAACAGGTATCTTCTGACACCGTCAAACAAGTTTTTATTCTAGCATAAGCGCTCATGAACTAGAGTGAACTTCATCAGACACTTATGAATTTATGAAGGGAGATAATTGTGAACAGGAAGATTAAAAGACCTTGAAATGCAGGATGTACAGAGTAAAGTGGTATTATGTAAAATTTAAACATAGTCAAAAGACGTATAGAACCAGTGTGGGTAGTGGGCCTAGGAGACCCAGGTTCAAATCCTGACTCTGCCATGAAACATACTGGTTGACTTTGGGCTTGTCAATTTCTCTCAGCCTAACTTATCTAACATGGTTGCTGTGAGTTGGAGGGAAGAATGATATATACCCGCCAGATCAATTTGGAGAAAGTGTGGGATAAAAATGTACTGAATAAAATAAATGAACAATAAAGAAACCATTAACAATAGCAGTAATAGTATTTTATGAAGTCGGCTCTGTGAAGAAAGGCATGTTTCTCCTGGAGGGAGGTTGGCAGACAGTGGACTACCCCTCCCTACTCCCCCTTAGTTTAAAGAATGGGTAGAGTTAGTTCAATTGCATGCCTTAGAAATGCTTATGACCTGGCTGGGAGAGTCCACTGAGGAATTTGGTGCTACCTGAAGAAGGCTCCAGGTGAGTCCTGGAGATACCCCAGAATGTATGGAGATTTCCCAGAATGCATGACAGGGGGAAATCGCCGCAGCCAAAGTGCGGCTTTTTTGAGCCGCACCAAAAGAGACACGTGGCGGCGGGATCAGACAGATCCCCCCAGCCGCCGCGCAGGTCCTCCCCCGCACGATCAGATGCCGGGAGGAAGCCACGGACCGGAGAGCAAGACCAGCCCACTGCGCATGCGTGTGCACGCGCAGTTTGGCAGGACCTTGCATGCTGCAGCGGATTTTCAGGTAGGTAGTAGTGTTTTCTAGGGGGGGGGGTTGATGCGCAGTTTTGCCCCGGAAGGGATGGATCGGGGACGGGTGCGCGCCGCTTCCCAGATGTTGCGGTGTGATCGTGCCCGCTTGATGCGCTCCTGATCCGTCCCTCTCGCGTGGCAAATCCTCCTGTGTGACTGGGGCCTCTATTCTGCCATGGAAGCTTGCTGAATGACTGTGGACCAGTCACACAGTGTCAGCCTAACCTAACTCACATGGTTGTTGAACAAAGTTTGGGTCCAGTGGCACCTTTAAGACCAACAAAGTTTAATTCAGAATATAAGATTTTGTTTGCATGCACATTTCTTAAGATACTGCACATGAAAGCTTATACCCAAAATTAAACTTTGCTGGCTTTAAATGTGCCACTGGACTCCAACGTTGTTCTATTGCTTCAGACCAACATGGCTCCCCACCTGAAGCTACCACATAGTTGTTGTGAGGATAAAATGGAGGAGAGGGAAACAATGAAAGATGTTTTGGGTCCCCATTTGGGAGAAAAGTAGAGTATAAACAAATTAAATAAATAGTTTTAGAATTTTCTAACTATCAGCCTGGTGTGTACATAGAATTCTAAACTCCCTCCTTTATGGTAATTTCAACAATTCATTCAAATGGGCAAGAATCTCTTATCTGTCTGATGACCTCAACCAAGACTGTGCATGCTGAAAAACTTGTTCACCTCCCAGCCTTCCCTGTTGATCATGCTTTTCTATACCTTCTTCCACAACAGCCTTGAACCACTACAGTCTCTACAATTTCCATTTCCACAAGGGCGAAACCTTACTCGCTTGGTTTACCTAACAGCAGGAAAGGGTGAGAGGAATTTCTCCAACACACCTGCTAACACAGGTTAATCACATTGTCATCAGAAATTACTCAAAAAACATTTATTTTCCTCTGAAGCATGTGATGCAACTCTTTTTGGTATTTATTCCTTAATAGCCCAGTCCCATACATTCACATTCACATTCACTGCTATGAGCACAAAGAATAGATGGAAAAATGACATGCTTGTGTATTTGTTAACAGCTCTTTTCTTACATCAAGGATCTTTGCCTGAGCTCCACCTCTGATCCCTGATTACGTACAGCTGAAGGCTCTGTTCCACTAGCAGTACACTGAATTTATTTACTCTGAAATAGCCTGCCCTGGGCTGCTTCCATATGGGGATTTTTCTCTGCATGGATAATGGGAAGCCCCCCCCCCTTTGAGAGCATCCACATGACATTGTGAAGCTGGCAATGGAAATAACACTGCAAAATAAAACAAAAATCTGGAGGCACTTTAAAGAATGAGACTGGGGAAAGAGAGGATTCAAGAAACTCTGTAAGGAGTCTGCCAAAGTACAAAATAGAATACAGCAAAATTATTTGTTGCTAAAGCAGAAAAGACTTGAAGCCATTTATACAGAATAAAAAGTCAGCTGGAACAAAACACAGCCTTCATGGTCAGGGTTAGCCAAAAATAAGAATCTCCCGTGAGGCATGCCCTAGCATAGTATGTAAAAGTATCTAGCTAAGAAGTCAAGGTTCTGACCTCAAAGTATGCTGCCATTGACAGAAACTTCATCAAGAAGTGGAGCATCAGAGCTTGCAGGCAGTCACTAGGTGCCTTCTGCTTTGAAACTGGAGCAGTGATCAGCCTACTCCTTTGTGCACACAGCAGAGTGCAAGATTGGGCAATAAAGTAATCTAATAGATGGATCAACAGAGAGTAAAATTATGTAATCTGATCTGACTATAAACAAAGTAAGTAAGTAAAGAAGTAAGTAAGTAAATAATAAAGTTAGGAAATATGGCAAGGTCATAGCAACCAGATTACGGTTGTGCTGCCTCTCTACGTCATGCCCCATTCTGACCATTTTTACATAAAACTTGTGTGGAAGACCCTCTGCTGGAATTGGGGCCACCACTATGATGCCCAGAGATAACTTAATTTATCTTCCCTCTTCCCCCCCTCCCCCAACATCTGCTTTGCCCCAATTCTGTTTCCTTGTGCTCGCTGCCTTTTTCAGTCATTACGTTTTGTCACATGTACAGGGAAAACTCACTACATGTGATTCTCCCAATATGGGCAATCACTGTTTTGACGCATGTGTGGCGATCGCGTATATCAGGAGGATCACGTGTTCTCCCCATATGTGTGGTAAAATGTAACAACTGGAAAAAGGGCACTAGCATAGTCCCTGGGAAGTTTGTGTTTTTCTTGCTGTTATTTATTTATAATGTGAATGTACTCCCTACACTGTACAAAATGTACCCTGGCTGCCTCTCTTCTGCTTCCTATTCCATGTTTGCAAGTTTGCCTATACAGGAAGGCAGATGCTGAAAGGCAATTTTTGCTCATGCAGACTGGAGACCAGTGTTCCCTCTAAGCAGGGGCGTAGACTTTCCAATTTCCCGGGGGGGGCTGGGGCTGGGTCAGAGTCATTGCTGTGCTAGGAGCAAGGGTGGCTGGAAGCAGTTGCCCCCGGGGGCAGGGCCGGCCCCAGGGGTTTTTGCACACTAGGCGAGGATACCTTCTGGCCAATGCCATCCAGCAAGCTTTGATGGCAGAACGGGGATTCAAATTTGGTCTCCTAGATCCTAATCTGACATTCTAACCACTATATGACACTGGCTGTTACATCTACTTCCTTTTCCTATTCTCAGATGGTGCAGCCTTTTGCTGTTCAACTGTACACTTTTACTTGTAGCCACTGAATGTTTATATACTTAAAGGCAAAATTTTATCTCCCCCACCCCGAAATTGGAGTTATTTGGTCCTTGCAAACCATGGTCTTTGATAAGGATGAGCTAAAGCATAAGGTTTGCAAACTAACAAGCAGGAATAGTCTGCCTAGTTGGGAATCCATGTTGCCTGAATTATGGATGAAATTCTGATTTCTGTACAAGAGAGTCACTGTGGGCACTAATTTTATCAGTGGCCTGCTAGTGGCAATAGAGAATAAACCCTCTTTGTGAAAAGCTAGAGAGGTTTACTCCCCAGTGGCAGCTTGAGACCAGAGTCAACTAAGTAAATCTCTCATTCTTCATCATAAAAACAAAGGTCTGGAGAGTCATTTTAACAACTCACCAACAAAGAAGCTTTATGACAATATTCATCCACTGGGGTGGGAAAGAGACACAGTAGAGCAAGAGGATTTAGGAATAGTAAGAACAGGTTCTTGGTAAAGTTCATTTGCAAAGGTCCTGAACAAATGCCTAAAGAAGATAACAGGATGGATGTGGATCAGTAAACTAAAGCTTAATCCAGAGAACATTGAGTTGGTTGAAGACAAAGCTGCTTGAAGAGTGAGGAGCTAGGCTGTTCTAAAGGAGCTAGGCTGTCTCCCTTTGAAAGAGCAGTTTTTTTGCTTGGGGGTGCAGCAGGAGGGAGGCTCAAGTTTTCTCTGTAGCATGCTGAACCTTCTATC